AGACAGGTCTTGTGTGGGGGGCGGGACTGTGGGGTGAAGAGTTGTTGGGGTGTCTTGTGTGGGGTAAAAAGTTGTTGTGTGTCTTGTGTGGGGTGAAGAGTTGTTGGGGTGTCTTGTGTGGGGTGAAGAGTTGTTGGGGTGTCTTGTGTGGGGTAAAAAGTTGTTGTGTGTCTTGTGTGGGGTGAAGAGTTGTTGGGGTGTCTTGTGTGGGGTGAAGAGTTGTTGGGGTGTCTTGTGTGGGGTAAAAAGTTGTTGTGTGTCTTGTGTAGGGTGAAGAGTTGTTGGGGTGTCTTGTGTGGGGGTGGGACTGTGGGGTGAAGAGTTGTTGGGGTGTCTTGTGTGGGGGTGGCACTGTGGGGTGAAGGGTTGATGGGGTATCTTGTGTGGGGGCGGGACTGTGGGGGTGAAGAGTTGTTGGGGTGTCTTGTGTGGGGTGAAGAGTTGTTGGGGTGTCTTGTGTGGGGGCGGCACTGTGGGGTGAAGAGTTGTTGGGGTGTCTTGTGTGTTTGCTAGACATTGATTAGTCAAGGCAGTAGACCCTACTTGGTTAGTGACAATAGATCCTATTTATGCGACTGTATGGCTAGTAACAATAGGCCCAAAACAAAGAGAGCTAAAACAATAAAAAAAAAATAATGCAATCGTTCTAAATATGCCTTTTCAAGTAAGATAGTCTAAACATTAGGTATCAAAAATTACGGCTTTCCTCTCCAGGCAACAACCCCCAAGACTCACCAGGGAAATCACCATCACCAGGGAAGTAGTAGCTGCTCAACTCACCAGGGAAGTCACCATCACCAGGGAAGTAGTAGCTGCTGAACTCACCAGGGAAGTCACCATCACCAGGGAAGTAGTAGCTGCTGAACTCGAGGTGCACGCAGGACGTGGTCGTGGGGAGACACAGGCGCTCCTTGTCGCCTGTCGGGACAAATTGTATATAAACTTCTGCTATATATTTATTAAAGTATTAACACGGCCATCAAGACGGTTCCTTTTAATATTATAGTTTAAGAAACACATCTGCTTTATATTTATTATGGAGATAACACGGCCAACAAGCAAGTTCCCTTGAATATTATAGTTCAGGAAACATTACAAAGAATTCCTTGTTAAGATATGAATCTTGTAGTTCAAGAAAGATTACAAAGGATTCTTTGTTTAGATGTCATTAGTGTACGAAGTAGAAACTAGAAATCAGGTGAAGCCAGCAGATCTCTAGTATGCAATGTGCTGCACATTGCTTCTGATGTTACAGTGCAACAAATAACCAATATGCAGGATACATGTCACGGCAAACTGCATGCAGTGCTAGTAACAAAACAAGCCACATCATAACACGAGTGATGTACGAACATACCATCACCATGAGCAGCACCGAATGTTCGGCAGAGTACGGCGGCAACATCAAAGAGGGCAACATAAAAGAGGGCAACATCCATGAATCCATGGAAACATCCATGTTCATCCATTACATTCCTGACACAACACACTCGGGAAGAGATGTGAAGATCGAACATTAAACGGCAGAAGTGCGACAAAAGTTAGTAGTGGAACATGTAATAGGATGATGTGGGGAGGAAAACCGTTCACTTTACACGTCAGAAGAAAATGCAACAGCATATAAAGTGCGCCTTTAGTTGAGATGAAAATGAGCAAATAAGAGAGATCATACAAGCATTGTGTTGAATAGCTGCAGGTACAAAAAAGGTAGGTAAAGGTAGGTGTGGTGAATAGCTGTAGGTAAATTTCTAGTGAATCTGCGATTAAAGCGATCTAGTGACTTGAATAAAGTAGGTAATATTGAACATAGGTAATATTGAACATGTATTATGCGTAGATGTTAAGAATGCTGGGAATGTGGGCCGTTATTGCGAGACCGTGGGAAAGGTTGTTTACATTGAAACGTTGACGCTCAGCGTTGCGAGGGACATTCCATTCGAAAGAATGCGCGTCAGTGCGAGGGTTATGAACCTGAACGTAACGTAAATTTGGTGGAGTAGATCACTCCGATTCACCCAACTTTAAAAGATATGAGACGATAGGAAACGTCTCTCTCTATATAATATAATATTCTCAAAAATCCCTATTTAATCAGACTTTTTTACTCAGGTACATTATTGCTTAGCAACACACTGAACGAAAGATTGCCAAGAAAGACAAGTGCGTCGCAACATTCAGGAGATTAACGCGAAAATTGTAAATTTCAGAATAAAGAATTCTGCAGTTCAGAATATTGTAAAGAATTTCCTGCAATTCATAATAAAGACCAGCCGCCCACAAGAAAAAACTGTAGGAAAAGGGTTTGTTAAAGTCAAACGAGTATATACTTTTCAAAAATAAGGCTGAGAAGCAGCTATATGTTATTGCCGTAAAATCGTGCGCTATATCTACGCTCTAAACGATCCTACAAACAGGATCGCTCTACAAGACTACAAGCTAGGCAGGTAGACGGCTAGCGTGCTTGGCTTTGTGTGGTCCTGGTAAGGCGAAATTCACAGCATCATCACCAGCAAGTTTCATTTGAGTGCGTGGCAAGTGCTGCGGTCCTACAGCATCGAGGTGTCTCGGAGGAACAGTGAACACGTCACTATCTATCATCTACAGCTGCCACATCAACAGTGGACACATCACTATCATCTACAGCTGCCACATCAACAGTGAGCACTGAGCACGTCTCTATCAGCCTACAGCTGCCACAACAACAGTGAGCACGTCTCTATCAGCCTACAGCTGTCACATCATCAGTGGACACATCAATATCAGCCTAAAGCTGCCACATCAACAGTGAACACATCACTATCAGCCTACAGCTGCCACACGAACAGTGAACACTTCATTATCTATCATCTACAGCTGCCACACGAACAGTGAGCACGTCTTTATCTATCATCTACAGCTGCCACACGAACAGTGAACACGTCATTATCTGCCTACAGCTGCCACACGAACAGTGAACACTTCATTATCTATCATCTACAGCCACACGAACAGTGAGCACGTCTTTATCTATCATCTACAGCTGCCACACGAACAGTGAACACGTCATTATCTATCATCTACAGCTGCCACACGAACAGTGAACACGTCATTATCTATCATCTACAACTGCCACATCAACAGTGGACACGTCTCTATCAGCCTACAGCTGTCACATCATCAGTGAACACATCACTATCATCCTACAACTGCCACACGAACAGTGGACACATCATTATCTATCATCTACAGCTGCAACACGAACACTGAGCCTACAGCTGCCACACGAACAGTGGACACATCATTATCTATTATCTACAGCTGCCATACGAACAGTGAACACATCATTATCTATCATCTACAGCTGCCACACGAACAGTGAGCACGTCTTTATCTATCATCTACAGCTGCCACACGAACAGTGAACACGTCTTTATCTATCATCTACAGCTGCCACACGAACAGTGGACACGTCATCATCTATCATCTACAGCTGCAACACGAACATTGAGCCTACAGCTGCCATGTACGCATATCACACTGTACAGTCGAACCCTTACCCACCTCGGGACTTGCTCAGCTTTTTAGGCAGGCGGGCTACGGGAGAGAGAGCAGCGTTAGTTACCTTCTAACTTCCAGAGTCACAAGAGTCAAGCCATCACGTCTATGATTGGTGGATTTTGCGTGAAAGACCGTCAATGATTGGCTGATGAACTTACGATATCTTAACTTTTTTGAAAGTATAGGCCCTGACTTCCAGACAACCAAACCATCACCTGCAGAACAATTTTGTGCCAGAGTTCTTGTGTAAGAATTGTACGTCATTATCAACTTACGCAACTCTTTAACTCGCCAGGCTCTCCAGCCGTATAGATCTGACTAGGAACATTTCATTATACAAGACTTGAAAGACATTTACCAGTCTCGAAATTTGGGATCATAGTTGCTTAGCATACTTAGGCTATTAAAACGCTATGCAGTTTATCTCGAAGTGGATACGCAGAGTAGAGGTGAACATGTAGCAAGACCCGAGCCTTGCATAGTACTCTTCGATCGTAGCTGTTAATAGCGCCACAAACCATAGGACTTCTTTTATAGTATATATTCACTCATAACTAGTCCTGTTTATTTCGATATAATGTTAGGTCTTGTTTAGGTTTTATGTCTGTCTTTGAATTTTGACTTTTAAAGTGATTTTATTCATTTTTAGTTTAGTCGAACTGATGATGGAGCTGGACTCCGAAACGTTTTCAATATCGATATGGTGAATTTTCTTGGCGTTTTCTTTGCTTTTAAATTCCTTGTGAACTTGCGATATAAGCAGACTAATGATATATGTAAGTACTCAGCCATTCTAAATTGCAAACAAAATGAGCTGAGTGATGACTAGTTCGAGATATTAATGCGTCAGAATCATAAATGAATAATTTCTAGAGCATAAAGCGACGACGTTGAATCATGTGAAGAGCCTGCTTAGCCCAGGAACTTGAAGCAGAAACCAAGCACGATGGATGAACATCAACAGCACAGGAAAGACATTCATAAAATAGCGAATTTATTTGCTAAAGTAATAGACACGATGATAAATGAAACATTAAGATAAAGGTTATGGCAAAGTACAGTCAGAAAAAACGACAAAAACGGTATAAGGCAGATCCAAAAAGTGCAAAACATCGAGAATTTGAAAAACACAGCATGACAATTAAAAAATGTTACCGGCTTGAGTTCTGCAAGTAATAAATAAATTCATGCAACAATTTCCATCATCAAAATTGCGCCACGAATTCGGCGATTAACTTTGAAACGCTGTGCGTTCCCGCAGACACGCAGTCATGGCTGATCCCAAACAACAACAGTTCCCGCAGACACGCAGTCATGGCTGATCCCAAACAACAACAGTTCCCGCAGACACGCAGGCATGGCTGATCCCAAACAATAGTTCCCGCAGACACGCAGGCATGGCTGATCCCAAACAACAGTTCCTACAGCTATACGCAGGAAACACTGTATGGCTTCCAATATTGTAGAATAAAAGTATTTATTTACTCGAGATCTATTGAGGATCTCTAAGTTCATTCTACCCCTGTTAATAAAGTTAATCCAGCACTTTAACAATATAAACAAATCATATTCAAGTACAACAGTGAAGGCAGGTATCAAAGGTGAATGGCGTGGATCAAAACGTGGATAAACTCAATGTTTTTAGGAATATTATACTGCATGTGTAGGAATGATGAATGGACTGACTGGAAATGTAGCTGGCACGAATGTATTAGTAATGGACTGGTAGGAATGTACGAGTAATGGACTGGCAGGAATGTACGAGTAATGGACTGGCAGGACTGTACAAGTGATGGACTGGCAGGACTGTACGAGTGATGGACTGGTAGGACTGTACAAGTATTGGACTGACTGGAAATGAACTGTTTAGGCGGCAGGCGGCGCGTGCTGGTGGTCACTCTGTAGAGGACGAAGTCTTTGATGGACACCACGCACACGGAGGACATAAGCTTGCGCAGCTGCGTGGCCACCAGCGCCCGCACATGGCCACTGGCCGCCCCCACCGCCTGCACATATGGCATACTGGGGTACATATGGCGTACTGGGGTACATATGGCATACTGGGGTACATTTGGCATACTGGGGTACATATGGCATACTGGGGTACATATGGCATACTGGAGTACATTTGGCATACTGGGGTACATATGGCATACTGGCTACATATGGCCTACTGGGCAACATATGGCATACTGGCTACATATGGCCTACTGGACGACACATGGCATGGAATACATATGGTACACTGAGGTATACGCTATACAGATCTATTCAAAAGAGAGATAAGATCTTGTTCATAATCTCAGTTTTGTAGCCACGAGTTAAAGGGATATTAGCAGCACACTTATCAACTATTATATATTACTATACTCTTATATACTATTATATTATATACCTACTCCACAAATTAACTAATATTATACTATATACTATTATATTATATAAGTACTCCACAAATCAAGTAATATTACACTATATACTATTATATAATATACTCAACACATTAATTAACAATATACTGTATACTGTTTATATTATTTCATATAGCGCGCACTACGCACCGCCTGAGCACCAGGGTCCTGTAAGGGGGTTGCCAGGGGCGGGGCCCGGGCGAGGGGGGCGTGCGGGCCCCGTGACCCGCTGAGGGCGTCCACGAGCAGCGCCCTGAAGTGGGCCAGCGCCCCCGCCGCCAGCTGCTGGGGCCCGCAGTCGTTGTACCTGAGATACGTGAGGCACCAGTGAGGCCCTGAGATACGTGAGGCACGAGTGAGGCTCTGAGATACGAGAGGCACCAGTGAGGCCCTGAGATACGTGAGGCACGAGTGAGGCTCTGAGATACGAGAGGCACCAGTGAGGCCCTGAGATACGTGAGGCACGAGTGAGGCTCTGAGATACGAGAGGCACCAGTGAGGCCCTGAGATACGTGAGGCACGAGTGAGGCTCTGAGATACGAGAGGCACCAGTGAGGCCCTNGCTGCCACATGCCACTCACCTGACCCAGTGGCAGCTGCCATATGCCACTCACCTGACCCAGTGGCAGCTGCCACATGCCACTCACCTGACCCAGTGGCAGCGGCCACCAGCAGCCAGGTGGTAGGGGTAGTAGTCCACGCGCAGATGGTTGATGGCAAATTGCAGCGACGCGCCGCTCGCCAGCTGCGGGTGACTGGAACGACCACCTGCCCACACAGGCGTCTGTATTGTACACAGCTGGCACTGTCTGCCCATGCAGGCGTGTATATTATACACAGCTGGCACTGTCTGCCCACACAGGCGTGTGTATGGTACACAGCTGGCACTGTCTGTCCATACAGGCGTGTGTATGGTACACAGCTGGCACTGTCTGCCCATACAGGCGTGTGTATGGTACACAGCTGGCACTGTCTGCCCATACAGGCGTCTGTATTGTACACAGCTGGCACTGTCTGCCCACACAGGTACACAGCTGGCACTGTTGCAGTCAGCACAATTACACAAGGGAGTGACACACACATCGAGATGTCACACATATGCCCCCCCCACACACACACAGACAAAATGCACACATGAGACTAGAGACCTCATACAGTTTTTGAATTAACACAGACAAAATGCACACATGAGACTAGAGACCTCATACAGTTTTTGAATAAACACAGACAAAATGCACACATGAGACTAGAGACCTCATACAGTTTTTGAATAAACACAGACAAAATGCACACATGAGACCTCATACAGTTTCTGATCAGGGTTGCCTGGGGAGCTGCCCTCCAACACACCTGGTCAGATTGTTTATATAAAAAAATCATGTATTTTTAAAACCCCTGGTCAGATTTTTTCCATATAAAAGACTAGTACCTTTAAAACCCTGAGAAGAAAGAGTAGTTTTACAGAAATCTCCCAGCATATTTGCTTCTCAGTGTTGCAAATAGAAAAAAATATAACTCAGTACTCACTGCAGTGAGTGACAGAGAGCGCATTTTCTTGTCAACGAAAACTTGAGGTCACGTACAGACGGACGGACGGACGGACGGACAGACAGACGGACGGACGGACATGGCGAGCACAATAGTGCATTTTTTCCATAAATGAGAAAATGCGCTAAAAATGGGAATGTAGAGCAAGTTTATTATTTATAAGCAAGTCATGGTTCCAAAAATTTATATTAGATTGAAAGTCATGCAAAATATAATAATGGAGACTGACTCACTACAGCTTCTAATTTTTAATAATCAGCAAGAATGAAAAGGATTGAACAGATCAGTCTTTTTTGGAAATTCAAACTGGCATGGAACAGAACTTTCTGTTCTATGCCAGGAGCTGAACAAAAATGAGTTTTCAAACATGTCATGATTTTAAAATATCAGAAAAAATTTTACTTTAATAGACTGCACTTCAAAATCCAAATTTAGCATGTACTTTTCTTTTTCAAGATCTCCTTCTGCTGAGCTTTATTACCTTTCAAGTTTTTTTGGCTCTCTCAGTGCCCAAACTATTTTGCAACTAGGTATGGTAAAGTTTAAATGTCGGAAATATACGTTGAATAGATGCTGAGATTGTTGGAAGTAACAATAATGTTTTCATTACTTGCAGAATTAATTTGCGACAAATTTGTTGGCTTTTTCTTGACTACTGACAAATTTGGCTAATTATTCTACACAGACTATCTTCAGTGGTCTTGCAACTTGGCTAGTCATTGTGTTAGTACACAGACTATCTTCAGTGGTCTTGCAACTTGGCTAGTCATTGTGTTAGTACACAGACTATCTTCAGTGGTCTTGCAACTTGGCTAGTCATTGTGTTAGTACACAGACTATCTTCAGTGGNAAATGGGTCAAGTGAAATGTGGGTCAAGTGAAATGTGGGTCAAGTGAAAAGTGGGTCAAGTGAGAAGTGGGTCAAGTGAGAAGTGGGTCAAGTGAAAAGTGGGTCAAGCGAAAAGTGGGTCAAGTGAGAAGTGGGTCACGTGAAAAGTGGGTCAAATGAAATGTGGTTCAAGCGAAAAGTGGTCAAGTGAGAAGTGGGTCAAATGAAATGTGGGTCAAGCGAAAAGTGGGTCAAGTGAAAAGTGGGTCAAGTGAGAAGTGGGTCAAGTGAAATGTGGGTCAAGCGAAAAGTGGGTCAAGTGAAAAGTGGGTCTATCTAGCAATGGGTCACTTGAAGAGTTGATGTAATGTGATGATCTACAGAACCAGTAGTGTGAGATCAAAGCAAATAATTGGTAGCGATTGAAGTGAACAAGTGGACAGCATAAAGTTAGTATAGATTGCTAAGAGGAATGAGAGCCCTGACACGATCATGCGTGGCTCGAGGTTCAGAGGAGTGAAGTGCTAGAGGAAACAAACGTACATCATATGTCATAATTTCTATCACATTACCGTAATGTTATTAATGTAACCGTTGTAACGTAATGTTAGGTATTCAAGATAACTACCACAGAGAGCAAGCGCACAACTTAAACTGAGCTAAATTCTATTTGCTGCTACTCATCTCCCTCTGTATTCTACGAAAACAGAGAGCATACATGCTAATTACGAGGTCATCAGAGCCATTAAGGGAACGATCACTTAAAAGAGGGAAGGGAATGACTAGAGTATAACTAAACAAATAAAGTCAACATGTTCGAAAAATTTTGAACGGCATTCAAAATAGTCCTTGGAATTCACGAAAAAATCCGTCTTCCGGTCGTCTCCCTTGTTGCTGGAAAGGAAAAAGTAGAATCCAGACGACTGCAGAGAGAAGAAAGCTGAGCTATTGTTAGGGCCTGAAGAACAGTGCAGGGCGAGGGCGGTATAAACGAAGCGTTAATATCACTAAACCTAAGCAATTCCAAAAAAGGTGGCAGAGAGAGTAAGAAACTGGGGGCTGAACACAGCTGGGTGTAAGGGTACGCACACAGTGAAAGCAGGTTGCCAGCGTGCTGGTTACCTGCTCAGGCTGGCGCCTGAAACCATAGAATACAGAAGCCTATTCGTACAGGTTTTCACTGTGAACACTTACATTATTATCCTATGTTCATTCTTGTGGCAGGTTGGAGCAGGTTGACCGCGCGGGCAAACCTGCTTCCACTGTGTGCGTACCCTAATATCTGAACGTCTTTCCGGCCAATCTGGCCTCAGCGACAGCCAGACTTGGCAATACCGAGCAGCGCTTACCTCCTGGCGCATGGCAGCAGCAAGAAACTTGATATTAGATTAGACTTGATAAATTACCTTCAATACCAAACAATATCATCACGTGATACTCAAAACCAAGTCCTGGCACACAAACGAATTTTAACTGCAACACACAGCCTGAACCTGATTAATGCAAACCCAAACTACATCCTAATAACTTGTGGGCAACAGGCTCCGCGTATGGCAACCAGGGGCCATACTTTCAAAACTCGCTAAGTGAACGTAAGTACTTACGCTCTATTTTCTTGTCTATGATTGGTGGATTTTGCTCGAAAGGCCGTCAATAATTGGCTGATGAATTTATGATCTCTTAACTTTTTTTAAAAGTATAGGCCCAGTACAGTGGAGGGCTCCAGGAGCTGCAAACAACTGAGCTGTGCAGACTGCAGACACTTAAAAAGCCTGATTCGGCAAGCCGCTTTCGGTGACCAGCTGATTACATCAAAATATCTAAAATACATAAATTTTACTCAATGATTTGTAAAAGTGCGAGTGAACTCGAACGAAAGCATTGGAAAGCAACTCGTGCACTAATTTTCACGCCATTCATAAATACGTAAATAATTTTAATATACAGCACAACATAAATTCAATAAGAATTAAGCAGACTCTCACAAAGCCACTGTTACAAAGCCTACAAAGAGCAGTTTTCAAAGTAATGCGAGGAAGATTCGGCGTTTATTCCGAACGCGCGAACAGAAAATTGTGCTACTCAGCATTCTAAGTTACTCTAACAAATATAGAGCCGCCCCAACGTCTGCTAAGTAGAAGTGGTAGTCATCTAGCGCTTCAGAAAGCCCTTATCAATATCGCACCGAAGGTAGGATGATAGGATCTTCAATTGCTCGGCCAATTATCGGCTTTAGGTTGGTCAAATCAGGCACGGGCGTTTACAAACAGTCGCCAGTTTGCACAGCGGCGTTTCGTTGTCTTGTTTGATTGTCTCTAGTGCAATGGGAGTTTGGTTTGGGGCAGGTAATCAGAAGCTGGGGCGGCTCTGAAGTTGGCCGTGAACTTGCACGAGAGCAGCATGACAAAGCCAGCTCTACAGTACACTGAGTACTGAGCAATTAAAACTTAACGCAGCGAGCAAAAATCAAGAAATATGAGCGAACATAAATAAACAGTTCAACATTCAATGTTTTGAGAGTGAAGTTGCTATCGTTATATGTTTGCTCTGAATATTGCATTGATTATGTGATGATGAAAACGGCCTAACAATCAGCATTTTATTTATGGCACTTAATTTGACATGCTAGGATACTCCTACGTAATTTTGCACTCGAAATTAAATCTTTTAAGATAGCAACAGATATAGATGGGTAATGTCTTTTAGCTGATGCTTGTTCCTGCTAAATATTGATCCCTTTGGTACAACTTCCGAACACAAAGTTCATAGTTCGTGAGTTATCCGTCAAAGTACAACGCTGATAAAAAATAGAGTTACGCTCAGAGCTCGCTACAGTCGGCTTAGATGTATTTTGGATCAGCTATGCCGCCCGATAGAAATCAACATCAGGGGCCATACTTTCAAAACTCGTTAAGTGAACGTAAGTACTTACGCTCTATTTTTTTGTCTATGAATGGTGGATTTGGCAAGAAAGGTCGTCAACGTCAATGATTGGCTGATGAACTTACGATCTCTTAACTTTTTTTTGAAAGTATAGGCCGTTGGCAGCACCTGTTGCAGAGTCAGGCTCGCATTCCAATTTCATTAAGGCCACATTCTTTCATTTCTTAGTAATGCGGCGCAGTTGCGTCTAAAACATAACCCCAAATTACCCCTGAAACATTTACCATGCATGTGAGGGCAATTAATTTAGACGGAATACAAGTACTACTCACTGCCAGGGTCGTCACAGAGATACAGGTCGATGCGTTCACACACGAGGTGGTAGGAGGTCTCGATGACGTCAAACTTGTGGAAGACACTTGGCCCCGCCGCCCTACCAGGCTGCTGCTGCTGCTGGCTGAAGCTGCTAGCTGAGCTCGTCTGCTGCTGGCTGTAGAAGTCTGGCAGAGACTGCCCAACATAATTCATCAGCAATGTTTATGAAGTAGAAGTCTGGCAGAGACAGCCCAACATAATTCATCAGCAATGGTTATGAAGTAGAAGTCTGGCAGAGACTGCCCAACACAATTCATCAGCAATGTTTATGAAGTAGAAGTCTGGCAGAGACAGCCCAACATAATTCATCAGCAATGGTTATGAAGTAGAAGTCTGGCAGAGACTGCCNTCTCATACACACTTTGTGCCAACAGGTATTTAATGCAACAGTTATTTTTGCAAGTTTCATAAACAATCAGTAAGTACTACTGTGTGGTACAGTTTACGGTCTCATACATACTTTGTGCCAACAGTTATTTAATGCAACAGTTATTTTTGCAAGTTTCATAAACAATCAGTACCTACTACTGTGTGGTACAGTTTACGGTCTCATCCTTACTTTGTGCCAACAGTTATTTAATGCAACAGTTATTTTTGCAAGTTTCATAAACAATCAGTACTGGAGCCTGTTCCTCTCAGGTCTCGAAATGTTTACTTTGACATGATTTGTAACGCGTAGACAGGACGACTTGTAAGTACACGTACAATAACTCTGTATTCAATGATCATTATGACACCCGCGCAACCAAAGCTTCCTGGTAGGTTAGCAACCCACGTACCTACATCAGCAATCACAGATGAGATAATTACTTATTACTGAAATATGGATAACATAAACGTTCGTCGCATTCGCCATATGCAATAGCAACACGTCACAAAAATATCCTGGTTAAAATTTTCCATCAATTTATTATCCTACACCTCCAACATTCAAGAGTTTTGTTTGGATGTATGACTACAGAAATAGTGACGAGTAATTACTAGTAAGAACAAGAGTACAATTAAAGGTAAGATAATTACTGAAATATGGACCACATAAACTTCCTTTGCATGCGCCATATGCAATAGCAACACGTCACAAAAATATCATGGTTAAAAATTTCCAAAATTTATTATCCTACACGTCCACCATTAAGAGTTTTGTTTGGATACATGGATACAGAAATAGTGAAGAGTGATTGCTAGTTAGAACAAGAGTAAAAGATTACCAGCGAGTCATGGTTTAAATTTTAGATCAATTTATTTTCCTATAGGTCCACCATTTAGAGTTCTGTTTGGATACAAGGATACAGAAATAGTGACGAGTAATTACTAGTCAGAAGAAGAGTAGAAAATTACCAGCGAGCTTCTTCTTGATGGTGAGGCGACAGTGACAGGCGTTGGTGAGCAGCCGTAGTGGTGCCAGGTGGCTCCCCTGGCCTGCCTCGTTACTGGTCGCCTCCACGCGTAGACTTTGCCAGGATAACTGAACAAACAAAACTTTATTACTTAATTATAACGTAATTAACAACTGAACAAGATAACGTTATTGCTTACGTAATATGACGTAATTAATAACTGAACAAGATAACGTTATTGCTAACCTATAACNAGAGCTGGGATCGAACCCGCGCCTCTCTGCGCCAATCTTGGTACTCTGAACTTTAACCACTGGGCCACCCTGCCTGCCTTTAACAATGTATATACATGATTAATTACTAATTAATTAATTAATTGCCATATCTAGTAATGTTTTATTGTTATAATGTTAGGTCTTTTTTAGGTTTTATGTCTGTCTTTGAATTTTGACTTATAAAATGATTTTATTTATTTTTACTTTAGTCGAACTGATGATGGAGCTGGACTCCGAAACGTTTTCAATATCGATATGGTGAATTTTCTTGGCGTTTTCAATATCGATATGGTGAATTTTCTTGGCGTTTTCTTTGCTTTTAAATTCCTTGTGAACTTGCGATACAAGCTGACTGATAATATAAGTAGATTAATTATTACTTTATAATTCGTAATTACCTATGACTGGTGAGCCTAACATTTTAAAATAAATAAATTGCTCGTGAAATAAGTTAAGTTATGGGTCAATGGTCTAAAAAGATAGAGATGTTAATTATATTTCAGAACACTTGGAATAACATAAAGAAAATATAACTCAGTACTCACTGCAGTGAGTGACAGAGAGCGCATTTTCTCGTCAACGAAAACGTTAAGTCACGGACAGACAAACAATCAGACAGACGGCAGACAGACAGACATGATGAGCACAATAGGGCATTTTTAGAAAATGCGCTATAATGAGGCTAGAAGATGTATGCTTACAAGACATTACATGAAGTGGTCTGAGTTTGGACTCATAATATGATACTCTACAGCATACGATGGTGCTTAATCAAACGTTTATTGAATAAATTAACTTCAAAAATCTCACTAGCATATATCCTATATTAATGAAAACATTCAAACCCAAGCCATTGTTATCCTATAATAACATACGATTTAATTGATTTCTTTCAATACCTGGAAAAGAGCACTAAAAACAGCGCTCTTGAAGGTGACACGCACAGAGTTGACGGTGACAGTGAGACCGTCCACAACTTTCTCCGAGAAGCCATAGTGCCCCCCGCTGGTGTGGCTGGGGGGAGCCAGGCCTGTGGTGTGTGGTCTTAGCTCTTCACATGTCTCCACCGCCACCACGACCTCATCCAGGCTCTGGGCAGAACATTTAAATATTGCAGCCATTAATAATTAAAATGTTACAGCCATTAATAATTAGCTCTTCACATGTCTCCACAGCCACCACAACCTCGTCTAGACTCTGGCCAGAAAATTTTTATATTACAGCCGTTACGCTTGAAGTCAAATATTCCAGAAAAAAATTCCAGAATCACCTAGATCAATTTCTAAGCTATCATTCTGATCATATACATAATTACTAATTAGCTCTTCACATGTCTCCACCGCCACCACAACCTCGTCCAGACTCTGGGCAGAACATTTTCATGTTACAGCCATTGCTCTCGAAGTCAAAAATTCCAGAATCACCTAGATCAATTTCTGAGCTATCATTCTGATCATATGCATGATGCTCTGACTTTATACATTTATTTTTTAGCAATATGCTTTTAATGAAAGTCAACATCAATGATGGCAACAAGAAACATCAATAAAATATCTAATAGTTTAGCTGCCTATATATGGTACCTCTAAACAAAACAAGGAATGAGTTACCACCATATAACCAAAAATAAAGGTGCACACAAAATATTCAATGCAATTTTACCAACAATTGAAACATTGACATCAAATAATAGTGTAAAAGAACAAAAGACATCAATACCTTTATGAAATATGAGTTACAGCAGTTCAATGTATAGATATACATATAAAGCAACAAACCAAGTGTAATTTCAATATAATAAGATATATAGAGCAACAAACCAAGTGTAATTTCAATATAACTAGATATACTATAGAGCAACAAACCATTATAATTTCAATATAATAAGATATATAGAGCAACAAACCAAGTGTAATTTCAATACAATTAGATAGGTATACCAATAGAGCAACAAACCAAGTGTAATTTCAATATAATTAGATATATAGAGCCACAAACCAAGTGGTATTTCAATATAATTAGATATATAGAGCCACAAACCAAGTGTATGGGCACACTCTTGAGTTTGGTCCACTGTATTTTGACAGACACTCTGTTGACAGAGGCGCGTGTGAGGCGCAGCCATGTGGGCAGCTCCAATAGGTCGGTCAGGACCTGTTCATTGAGCTCCAGGTTCTTGAGGTCTCCCTCTCCCTTCAAGGTGCTCACATTGATGCTTTCTGCATTCAAGTTCTTGGCAAATCTGCACACAAAAACATATATACCAGAATTATCAAACAAATTTAGGTTGAAAAAAATTATTATCCATGACCATTGACCAAATAAGAAATGACTAATTCACAAGATACTAATTGAATTTTTTCAGACATAAATTAGAATACAAATTACTAATCCTAAATTAAAAATGCAAAAACTAAAAATAAAACCTGATCATTATGATTTTGACACTAATTTGAATTTTTGAGAAATGTTAGTTAGATTTTGATGAAGCTAGCACTCAAAAATAATTTGAAAACATATCATTTAAACATAATGTATTTATAAATTAAATATATTAGCATGAATGAAGATTAATATGTAATAGTCAGCCACTATTTCTGGAAGAACTTAAAGATTTCAAAACTTCATGGAAAATTTCAATAAATGAATTACAAATTATGGTTGTATAAAAAATAATCATCAAATGATAATGACTATATGAATAGGCAAATAAATAACAACTAATTGTAAGATACTTACTTTGATAAATGCTTCAGGATTTGATTTTTAATGAGTCCAGCCATTAAAATAACAAAAGATTGAATGGAGAGACAAATAGAAGTTCAATTAAGATTGCGGCAAATGCAGGTACTACCTGAAAGGCTAAAGCCTTTTGAATTTACAGCTCAAAGCAATACGGCATCCTTTGAAGCCTAGAAAAGAAAGATGCCATATGAGCCCCTCTGTAATCTGTATGACGTGTATGCTTCTGTGTAGTCATTCAGATGCAAATAAAATATTCAATTATATTAACTTGGATGAGTAGAAACAAATTGACATGCAAAATAACCCACTCAATATATTTATAATTATTTAATCAGAGTAATTATTTGAGACTTGAGAGTAGATATTTTTCTCACTAGTGGCTCAGGAGTCAGGAGCCTCAGTTGTGTTTGAAAAATTGACAATTTATTTTGAAGGCTGGCAACATGAATAAGTGCTAAGGCAAATTGGCAATGTTGACATTGACAGAAAAATTTTTACACATCATGTTACACAGTTACAATAGCACTAGGTATATAACTACATTACATATAAGAAATAATTCAGGGTGGAATTTTAGGGATAGGTAATATTTTTTCATGTTTATAGAACAAAATGGATCGGAATTCTGAAAGCCCACCAGCCAGTCCAGGCGTGGAATATACCGTATATATCTACTTCACTACTTGGCAAGCCACGACTGTGTATTTTATGAGCCTTGGTTTTATAAATTTGACAGCCCCATAGCTAAAGAACTTTTGCAATGAATGTTTTAAAATAAAATATTTGGTTTTCAAATGTCCCTTCAGCAATTCAGCTTGTTACAGACTCAAACTCGCAACTCACTGCACCAATTCTGTTTTGCTTAACCGCCTGGCCTTTTGCCAATTCTGATCAGAAACTGGTGCACAGAGCTGGCTCAGCAGCAGCTGGGATCAAACCCACACCTCTCTGCTCCAATCCTGATACTCTGAACTGTAACCACTGGGCCTGGGTCAGGCTGGGTGGGCCACCCTGGCCCCAGGGGCCCTGCTCCGTTAGCCTCCGTAAAACTTCTGCTCCGCACAGCGCACACACGCGACCTAAATATTTATAATACTGGTAAATATGTTGTATGACTCAATGACTGTATGAGATATGTATTTTGCTACTATCCTCGTGAGTCATGAGTGGTGGTCACAAATTACAATTATGCAAGGCAACTCAGTCGCGTCTCGATCAATTCAATCCTTTGAGACTTTAGCCAGTAGCCCAGCACATCAGCGGTCGGTACTCGGTCCAAAGCAGAAACTTTTGCTCAGGCTCTCAGCTGAATCCCTCATCTGATCTGACTGTCTGACATCTCTACGGAAAACGGACTGGATTCCTGTCCATCTCTTAACTACCGGATTTCCTTAACTTTGAGATTGTTTCAGAGTTATTTTCTGGTACCAAATTTTCGAGTTTTATCGTATATACGTGCATCGGTGTAATTCGGCAGAAGCTTTTCTCTTATGCAAGTTCGATTGAAGACCTGAGCATGCTCTTCAAAAACTTCATTAATAATATTCTTGTTCGCTTTTTCAATGATTCCAACAAAATTTCTTGCTGACGCAGAGAGATCAAAAAGAAGGTTACTAAATGGAATGCAACATTTCAAAAATACAATTTTCATTATCAAGCAGGTGAAGATTTTGCAACACTTGAAATTGAACTTTTGGAAATGACAGTAGTAAAAATCAAGGGTATGGTGGATGCAATTTAAAATCTAAGTTTAAATTTATTCTGAAAATAATTTAAGCGGCCGGACGAATCTTGTAGTTTTTTTTTAAAGGCCTCCCACACTCACCATTCCAACAAAAAAAAGGAATTGATTTTATTTATCTTGTAGTTTGGAGATTGATCACTAGAGACTCGCTCCTGATAAAGAGGACCTCAGCTTATCGCCCGTCTCGTTGGGTCAGGGCATTGTGGTCAGGTCACCGGATAATTATGCTGGTCAATTATTATGAATTATTATTATCAATTGTTACGAATAATTATGCTGGTCAATGCTGGGAATAATTATGCTGGTGCTGCGGTGCAGGCCTCCAGTGTCGCTCGGGTGATGGTCTCATTGTGAGCCTCTCGTATGTGGTTCTTAGGTCCTCCAGATTTTAGATAATATGTGAGTTGGCGGCTTATGGTCGTGCTTGTAAGATCATTGTAGTTTACATTATAAAGAAATCTGCAGCCTTCCATAATACATGAAAATTTATAAACAGTATTAGTTTCTTGAAACATTCCAAATTTTTTACAGGTATTATTATTCATGACAAGGTTTCTAATTTTCTTAATTTTGTTGTAGATCAGAAATTTATTTGTTCTCTATCCGTTGTGCTCTTGATATTATTATGGAAGATCGACTGTAGGACTTGTTAATCTACTTTGTAGCCTTTGTTCATCTGGTTTTGGTAGAAGATTGTTGTGACGGTTCCATTAGAAATTGCTTCATTGTTTGTCCGGTTACTTCTGGATCGAAAATTTGATATATCAGTGTTTACTTTTCTATTTTAAAACCCATTATACGAGGATTTGTTTGCAAGTTCTGAGTTTAGTTTTCAAATCACTTGCGGATGCGCAGGTTTTGAATGCTGTCTTTGTATATGAGAGCGCGCACAGTGCTGGTTTTAAAGCGTTGAAGGCATTCACTATCTTTGTTTGCCACTTTTCCGACATCGGCAGGTTTTCGGCAAACATTAGTGACAAAGGAATTATCTTCAAGTCGTACTAATATGTCTAGGAGTGACAGTTGGTGATTTTGTCCAATTTCATTTTAAACTTTAAGACTGAATCGTGTTCCAAAGCTCGGCGAGGTTCCATCAAGTGCTATTCGTCTCGAATGACAACGAAAATGTCATCTACATAGCTGCAGTAAAGCACAGGCTTGATCTGTGCATTGATTAACACTTGATTTTTCAGTTCACACATGAAGAATTCTGCAAAAGTTGGATCCTAAGGGCATTCCATGGCAATTAACGACGTTAATTTGTCGGTAAATTTGGTTATCAGGAGTCCGGGAGGGAGATTCTGAAGAACAGAGTCGAAAAATGTCAATATTAAGATTTTTTTATATAGGTGAAGCTGGGCAGGGCTTCATGTGAATATACATGCTTTACGATAATTTTTAATGTTTTTCCGGTTGGTACCTACATTAGTAAACTAACTAATGACATCCAGTGAAGCTAGCAGACCAGAAGGGTGCTATAGGCATGAATACTTGTATCATGTACTCATTCCCACAAAACTTTCAGTATTTAGTGTTTCCGATAATTTGAAAACAATATATATTTGAAATGTCGTTAATGGCTTAAAATTAATTTCTTAAACCTCCCTTCCGATTAACCAACGTCAGCTAAGGAATGTCATTCAACCCTGAAAATCTAAATTAATGAATTCTCTGGTCATTAATTTCAAGGGGTTTAAAAAAGCTAATTCTGCCATCTAATAACAGTTTTTCAAATATGTGCATACATATTATATATTAGTATTAGATGGCAGAATTTGCTCATTTAAACAGGTGTGATTATTGACCAGAGAATTCGTTTATTTAAATTATCAGAGAGTGGTACAATTCTACAGATGACGTTGGTAGACTGAAATGCATGATTCCGGAAGTAGTTTTAGTTTATTAACGACGTTTCAAATGCAACAAACATTCATTTTCAAGTTACAAGAATTTGATAATTTAAATCTACGAATTCTCTGGTCAGTAATCGCACGTATATTTTGTATATCCGCACTTTGTCACAATCGTTGGAATTAAATACAATAATAGAAGTAAATGGGAAGATGACTCGGCTTTTAACGTACACGTTTATTGAAGTGCCAATTGTGACAAGCAGCATTCCTGCAGGTTAATAAAAAGTGGTTTTCCACTTTTACGCATGTGGGAGTAGCTATAAGATACTCCCGAGTAAGGTGTGTTCTAATTTTGATTGGAAATACCGAATTTTATGTGTGTGAAAATTATGCACCATGAATTCTTTAATACATATAGTCAAATACATAAAAACAATGAAAATGAAATTGCGGACAATAATAGTGCAAAAAGAATTCCAGATCGAATGTTCGATGGAATGATCGAACATGCAGCCAGGCTGCATGTGTTTCAATAGATAACTACTTTAATTGTGTACAACTTTATCAACAAATTATTTCCCTTTGCTTTTGAATTAATGTAGAATGGTCTGCAATATTTCTGACGGTAGCTGAGAATGAACTTCTAATAGCCACATGAAAGCTATTTGACTTAATCGTAATTAGTTATATCCACAGAAAAATGGGCAGAAATTCCAGCAATTGCTGTGTGTTCTTCAGGCGATTCTTACATCGCTATGTACCTATTGTTTTTGCCATGTATTGCTGAATCTAATGAAGTAAAGTTAGCTATACAATATTACTTATCTTAATTCAAAGTTGACTTTGAATTACATAGTATCGCACATTTCGTCACGAGTTGAAGTTCCAACTCAAAAATGCTATAATTTTGTTACAAATGTTCGAGTCCCGTGATATATGGAATTGTTTATATCTTAGCAGCATATATCATCTAAATTATTATGTGATGATTGGGCTCTCCATGCGATCATTATATGCGTGGGCCGTTGTAAATTTCCCTCTGGCCAAATTCTTGACATATTTAGTCTTTGAAAAATCATTAAAATTCTTTCCAAAACTCGAAAGAGTTTGGTTAACGCTTGAGCAGAGCGGGGTTGCAGGGGGCAATTCAGCTGCTTGACTGGACTCTTATATCAGAAGTGTTCTCGATGGCATCAATTTCACACCCGCGGCTGAGAGGCGGCCTAATGGAATCAGAGAATTCCATTGAAACGTCGTAGAAGGAAAGTGTTTAGTCATGGCGCATCTGTGAGGACCTGGTGCTGGCAAAACACTTTATACTCACGAGTCCCTGTCGCATTACTTCCAATTGACTTGCACAATTGCACACTCGATGGAAGGCAGTTGTGGCGAGTGATTGTTAATAGATCGTGAGCCTGGAGCTTGCATGCACAGCTCTCTCATACATCACTGGCTGTGTCATTGTCCTGCCATGAAAGTCATTGTACGTATCGAGCGCATCATTGTCGTCCTAGGCCCTCCTCAATAAGCCGATCACTTCGACAAACTCCATGGATGGATGTCCTCTACAATTGC